CGGGGCTGGGAAGAGGGGTTGGATAAGGGGCAGGGAGCGGTTGGCGGGGGTGGAGGTTCTGGCGGGGGGGGGTTGGGTAGGCATGGGAGTTCCGGGGGTCTGTCGGGATGGTGGTGGATATGGTCGGGACAGGGAGCGGGGCGAGTTGGGTAGGGGGTGGGGCCCTGAGGGGCGGTTAGGGTTGGGGGTCTCAGGCTTGTACTCACTGGGCGGCGCTTAATAACTGGTTCCCTATCGGGTTGGCGGCGGCACTTCAGCAGCAGGTCATTCACTCGCTCCGGGTCTTCAGTGGCACTGAAGGACCCGCTGCCGAAAACCCGGAGCGAGTGAGGGACCCGCTGCCGAAGACCCGGTAGGGAACCAGTTATTAACATTCTGGCAGCTCGTCACTGTCTGTATCCCATGTTATAAGGTAAAGTTTGTGTTTGCTCTGTATCGGTAAAGCTTCTCTCCTGACTGGTGATTTATAAAGTGTGAAATATTAGTTTGACACAGAAGAAGTTATCTCCTGCCTAATGAAAGAAGGCCCATCAACACCGGACAAACCACTGCGGAACATTAGAGGACCAAAGACTTTGTTGATTGCTTCTCTTCCTGAAACCTCCCATGAAGAGGAAATATGCAACTGAATTCCTCCCAACTGCTGAACTTGCAACTTGAAGCAGAAGGGGGAAAGGAATAAAAGGTGCTAACAAGGAGAAATTGTATCTTTCATGCTGCTTGGACCCTGAGGAACAAGAATGATGAAGCATAAGCAAAAGATCCCCAGTGCTGGGCCTGTGTTAGCACTAAAGAACATATAGTGCTTGCCTATTATAGTAGCTTCTATTACCTGGGAGTAACCTAAATATTGCTGTGAACTTTCACCAAAGTACGCTCGCCAGGGTGTCAAAATAGATTGGAATACCCCTGGGGACTGTCTGTGACTCCATGTTAAGGCTGTTATAGTGCCTGAGGAGTTCACACTGGATAATTGGTTGGTGAAATCTGAGTAAGGAACTCACAACCAATTTGGGGTTTGTGCCCTGTTCCCTAACAGTCTGCCCTGTGCTTGATACTCATGCTCTTGAGCCACTCCCAGGACCGCTGGACAGACGCATTCACAAATAGGTCAACACAAGGTGACTTATGTCAACCTAACTTCGTAGTGTAGACCAGGCCAAAGGCAATCTTTTATTCTGTCAAAAGCCTCCATTCCAGATACATAATAGGTAACACTATTGCTTGTATCTTTCAAAACCAGTTTGGAGCTGCTTTACCCTTCATTCCTCACTGTAAAAGGTACATAAGCCAAGTGCTCCTTAATTACTCCCTCCAGTCCTACATCCACTAATCTTAATGCTTCTCTAATAACCAATTAGAGACTGTTTTTGTTCCCCTTACTCACAATATATCTTTGGCAAAAAGCACCTGGCCATGTGTGACCATTTCCCTCCCCAATACCACCAACACAGTGTATTTATACAGAAATTACAGACAGGTGGGAAGTTTGATACTGAATTCTAAACTGAATATCCAGATAGCTCCATCAGTCACAGTCAACCTTTCCCAGGACCCTGCATCATGACCACCACTATATTTCTGGTGGAGGGGGACTCCCTCCAGAGCCCAGCAAATGGTAAGGACTGTAAACAAAACCCCCAGAAACAGCTGCCCCTGAACTTTAAGGAAGTTTTGTATCTGGACCCAAGTTTTGCAGCACAGGGCCATTTTGTTAATTTGCTAAGTGACATGGAGCCCTTCCTTTCTCAGGGCCTTTGGGGGCTTCCCTCCTTGTATCTGTTGATTCAGGAAAGAAAGGAATAGGAATGATAATCACACCCAGGGCTCATGTGGCAGTGTGTAGCACACTATCTCTAGACCATTGAGCTGGCATTACAAACTATATTGAAACATATGGCTGCTATTGGGGAAGGGTGAGAGTTATTTAAGTGATGGCAGGTAGCTATGACATGTTGGTAGTTGTATAAGGGGATTTTTTTCTCAATATGCTGTGCAGGGCTGTGCCAAATACAAGGTGGGAGAAGATGGGCTTCCTAAGGCTATGTATACACTATCCTACGGATCGACAATCCGGGGTTGATTTAGCGGGTCCACCAAATCGACTGCAGATCACTCCCCAGTCGACCCCAGTACTCCACCCTGGACGAGAACAGTAAGGTAAGTTGACGGGAAAGTGCCTCCCGTCGACCCTGCATAGTGGACCCTGCAGTAAGTCGACCTAAGCCATGTCGATTCCAGCCACATTATTCACGTAGCTGGAGTTGCGTAGTTTAGGTCAACTTACCGCTGTAGTGTAGACATAGCTTAAGTGTGATTTCTCAGAGCCTACGTCTCACCTTGTTCCACGGTAATCATGTTACATACAGACTATTGCTAGTGGATGCTCGCAGCTGTCATTTATTGTTGCCTGCTCAGTTACATTTGAATTGTGCTTGGTAACTGTTTTTTAAAAAATGAAGTAGTTTGTAATGTTTTCTTCTTCAGAGAGAATAGAAAAACAGAATAGGAAGGAGAAATTGGTCCAAACTCTGCTGTCAATTTCAATGTTGTAAATTTGCCTTGTACCGAACACAATGGAATTAACTCCAGATTTACACATGTATAACTGAGAGCAGAAATTGGCCCTTAGTCTGTATATGCGGGTCTATTTACAGGAGATGCCTTTTAATTTTTGTTCTCTGAATGGAGCTGTAGCATCGAATGTTCAAAGTCAGAGTAGGTCTTCACTGCACAGTGAGGGTATGTCTATGCTGCGCAAAAAAAACCCCAAAAAACTGATGGGCTCTCAGGGCTTGCGCTATGGGGCTCAAAATAGCAGTATAGATGTTGTGGTGTTACTGTGGCTTTAAGGGAATGAATAGAATCTTCAGGGTGTGGGAGCTGACAGCTGGAGGAGGTGGTCTGGCAAATTCTCACTGCTTTTTCCAGATTTAGATCTGGCTCGTCTAACAGTCTCTTTCTTACACTGATAACGTTTATACCCATTACAATATGATCTCCTATCATTGACTGCGATAAAGCCAAAGGAGACCTTTTCAAAGATTTATAGAAAGCTATTTAGAAAATTCTGTTATATATATAAAATATGCAAATACATTTGTGCTAAAAAAATCATTACAAGAAGTAATGTTACTGTGGTTTTAAGAGAATGACTAGAATTTCCAAGGTGTGGGAGCTGACAGGTGTGGGAGAAGGCTGTGGGTTTTAGGTTAGACATTAGGCTGACCTGAGCTAAGATGCTCTGTGTATATATTAACTATGTATCTAATAAAGACTTGTTAAATTACTAGCTATGAATTATTAGTAAGGCTAGCGGATTACTTGAATAGAAAACAACACAGTCGTTTCCGCTCCGGCTGGAGCCCATGCTCTGAAACCTGGTGAGGAGGGAGGGTCTCGGAGTCCGTGGTCCAGCCTAACCGGAATATCTACACTGTTGTTTTTAGCCCCATTGCGCAAGCCTGAGTAAGATGACCCAGGCTATGAGACTCACTGCTGTGTTTTGTGCGGGAGGGGTTCTTTTGTTATTGCAGTGTAGACATACCCTGACTGTCACGCCAGTTAGCCCAGCCTGGGTTTGAGCATCCCCACTGGTAAGCCATACTTGAATTACTGCATCCTCACTGGTGCTGCACCCCCACAATGTGTGTGTCACTAGGACTTCTGGGGCAAATCCCATGGTTCTTTGTACTGAGATGCTCTAGGATTGTTTCCCAGTCAGTTGCAAGAGAACTTGTCTGTCTTGCACGAATTGGGGGGAGGGAGGGAGAGAAGGCACTGGAGTACTGTCAGTTCTCAAGTGATTTATCCTGCATATTCACTGCAAAACTGGTGGGTTCCATCAGTTAAAGTGGATCCTGGGCTCTAATCTGTATCCTGCCTCGCTGAGTAAACTAACCCTGGATTATAGCACCTAAGAGTCTGGGTAAAAGGTTTTTCTGTGTGGACAGTAGAGGGGTTTGGGCTAAAACCCAGGTAAGAGCCAGGGTTAACTTTACAATGAAGACTTACCCTAATATATGGAAATGGCTATCTGGAGGAAGGAATCACAGGATTTTGAACATGAGACCTCAATGCCTTTCTACCAGTGCTATGAACATGCAGTGGTACATTCCTGTCCAGCAGGGGGTAGTGGGGCCTAGATGGTTTTGCCCTATTAAAATGAAGCAATTTCGTTTATAGGGACAATGGGAGATAGGCATCTAATTGTCATTTGTGCCTTTGAAAATCTCTCCCTTAAGTTAAACTTTAATTTACAACTTGTTAAAGTGGGTAACTTTCTAAATGGGAAGCAGGTGCCTAGAATGTCAGTTGTGGCTCAGCAGTTTAGTACCCTGTTAATTGATGACAGACTCTCACTGTAAACAAGGCTAACTTTGAAAGGCAAATTATATAAAAATGACACCTTTTTACTCAACCAGTTGCTCCCGGTGTGTGTTCAAAAATGGAGCTGGTCAGAAAATCATGTGAGGGAGCATTGCAACATTTAAAAAAAAATTCCATTTGTGCTGAAATTTTCTGACCAGCTCAAATTCAGAGTCGCACCACACCATCCTCTTGATTGTAGGGATTTTAAAAAACAAAAGCTAACTCGTGTTTGTTGTATTGTCTCTCGAGTACTATAGAGGAATGAGTTAGGTTCCAATATGGTTCATGAATCATTATCCACAGATTTGATAATTAAGTTCCAACTGCAAGGCCAAATTCTAAATGCCAGGCCCGCAAACCCAGTCTGAGACTTTTTTAGATTATCTGACTTTCAGTCTTTCAGTATCTCCTTAGCTCTCCATCTCCTTTCCTCTCATTCTGGTACCTAGAGTTATACTTTGGATACGTTTTTTCTTGTGAAACTGGAAACTAACATGTGAAGGGTTTTTTGTGTGTGCTGCTGAGTTAATTTTTTTTTTTTTTAAGAAAGACCTAAAACACACACTTCTTTTCAGGAGAATCAGGCTGGATGTGCAACCTGGTTATGTGTCTCTAGGAGGATGCTTTACCTTGAATATGGCAGACTGTCCTGGAATGTGGGATGTGTCTGGAGAGAAAATAAGTTCCACTTGCTCTTCCAAAAGGAGAATCGCTCAGACTTCTCTGTGTTATTACTTTGTAGTTGAACTCAGGCTCAGGCTGTTGTTTGAAATTGATATTCATGATGTAACTTTGCTATTCTCCCCACAGCAACTCTTGGGGTAGTGGGTCCTGACAGTGTCTCATCAGCAGCGGCCAAATGCTGGAAGTACAGAATAACAATAGTCATGGACACGAAGGGAGCAGAACACTTGAATTGCTACTTGTTTTTCTTGTGACTGTTTTACATTTTGTTACTGTCTCTTCAATATTCCTTCTGGGGCAGCCTTAAGCAGGCACAGGCTCAGTAGGAGACTTTCTAAGGCTCCACTTCTAGGGGATGGCATAATAGTCTTGGGACCACTTTGGTCAGTGTAGTGAGGCGGTGTGGCTCCCCGCCGCCCCGGAGGGGGAAGAGCCCATCCGGAGGCCGGAGTGGGCGGAGCTAGGGAGCTCTGAGCCCGCTCCTCAGAGGGTCAGGCGGCGACCCTGAAGTCTAAAAGCTCGCCCTCACAGCTCAGTCAGGCCCCAGCCGCCGGAGAGACCAGACGTCTCCAGCATAGCTCGTGACTGGGAAGAGCCCACGGCCCAAGGCAGCTGCCAGGACTGGCCGGGCCTGCCCTGCGCCCGCTATCCGGAGGACCCGCCGGACCGGCCGATCAATCCCTGCCCTGACGAACCCATGGCCTTGGATCCCCCAGAGGCCGACACCAGGACCCAGGTAGGCCCCGAGGGGGAGTGTGGAAGTAGCCCGGGGGCAGCCGACCCCAGTCTGGCTGCAGCGCTGCCAGAACCTATATCAGTGTGTTGTGGCCAAAATCCCCACTGACTAAGCAGCGAGTCTTCTGCCGCTGCTAGGGCCCTGGGCTGGGATGCAGTGGAGTGGGAGGGCCTGCGTCCCCCTGCCCCTTCCGTGGGTGGCAGTCTCCCCCTCTCCCAGGCCTTTTGAGGTTTGGGCCCGCTATTGTTGCTCAGCCCTGACTGAGGGCCTGAGCTCCTGACTCAGCGTTTGTTGCCCCGCCCTGACCTAGGGCCTGGGCTTAAATACTTTGTGCTATTGTTGCTCAGCCCTGACTGAGGGCCTGAGCTCCTGCCACAGTCTTATCGCCCGCCCTGAGCAGGGCCAGGCTTACCGTGTTCTTCTAGCTACAGCAAGAGCTGCTGAGGGAGACCCACGGCCGGACAAGTTTCCCCAGCGCACCGGTGTGTAGTGAGCCGGTGTGGCTCCCCGCTGCCCTGGAGAGGGTCGAGCCCCAGCAAACTCTTGTACAGTCAGTTACCGCCAGCCAGCCCTGAACTGCTCTTCTACACATGCAAAGTCTCTGCCCACATGGTCCACTATCCATTGCTGCACACAACTGAGCAGAAACAGGGACACCTCTTTGTAGGAAGAAATGACAGAAAGGGGAGATTGGATTTGTTGTTGAGTTGTGTGGGAAGAAGAGGGCAGGCAGTAATGGGTGAAGAAGAGGTGGGGCAGAAATGCCACCTTAGGATTTTGATATATTTATTAATACTAGATGGTATTGTGATTGGATGGTAAAATACCATTCTACAGCTTGCTGTTGCCTAAAACTCAGATAGTGTTGTAGATATATTTACGACTCACTACCTAGCTTTAGATATCTTTATGACTTACTACTTTCAACCTGTTTCTCCTCTTCCCCCCCCCCCCCGCCCCCAATAATATTCTCACACTATCTGTCTCAGCCCTGAATTTATCACCTTGGATAGGATATATTTGAGGCCACCAGCTCTAATGCAGCATCCTAAGAATATTTGAATTGTTGTATGCCATCTCAGGTTTTTATGATGTAAATATATTCTCACTTATACCTCTTTCAATATGTATCAAAAGTAATTATTTTTCCCGTGTGTGTGTTGCCAGAGAAGTAAAACATGGGAGTTTTTCTGTTCAGCCACACTTGCTTGGCTGACCTTTCCTAATTTTTCTTTTGTAGATTTCCAAGTCGTTTTGCATGACATTGAAAATTCATAAGAAAAGATGAAAGCTTTTGTACCCTTTCAGAAGTCAGATGTAACAGTCTCATCACCTGATTTCAGATTTGGGGTTTCTCTGGGACCAACATGACTATTGAATTATTTTCCTTTATTACTGGTGTCAAAGTTCCTTCCCCACTCTGAACTTTAGGGTACAGATGTAGGGACCTGCATGAAAACCTCTAAGCTTCTCTACCAGCTTAGATCTGCATTTGCTGCCACCACTCCCAATGTGCTAAGTCCCTTCCCTGGGTAGCCTTGAGAGACTCTTCCACCAATTCCCTGGTGAACACTGATCCAAAACCCCTGGTTCTTAAAACAAGGAGGAATTAATCATTCCCGTCCAATTCCTAGTGAGTCCAGATCAATCCCCTTGGATCTTAGAACAAGGAAAAATCAATCCGCTTCTTTAAAAGAAGGCTTTTAATTAAAGAAAGAACGGTAAAAATCATCTCTGTAAAATCAGGGTGGAAAATAACTTTACAGGGTAATCAAACTTAAAGAGCCCAGAGGAACCCCCTCTAGCCTTAGGTTCAAAGTTACAGCAAACAGAGAGAAACACTCTAGCAAAAGGTACATTTACAAGTTGAGAAAACAAAGATAAAACTAACACGCCTTGCCTGGCTGTTTACTTACAAGTTTGAAATATGAGAGACTTGTTGAGAAAGATTTGGAGAGCATGGATTGATGTCTGGTCCCTCTCAGTCCCAAGAGCGAACACTCACGAAAACAAAGAGCACAAACAAAAGCCTCTCCCGGCCCCACCAAGATTTTAAAGTATCTTGTCCCCTTATTGGTCCTTTGGGTCAGGTGTCAGCCAAGTTACCTGAGCTTCTTAACCCTTTACAGGTAAAAGGATTTTGGTGTCTCTGGCCAGGAGGGATTATAGTATGGTACACAGGAGGGCTGTAACCCTTCCCTTTATAGTTATGACACGCCCCCCAAATCACAGATCGTGTTGGACAGCTGGTTCCACACTGGCTGTGATTTCTTCCTGGAGCTCTAGGAGAAAACAGAGTTAATAAGACACATGCACCTTTAGACATACTACTGATTATGTAAAAACTAACAATATGTCCCACATTCCAAGAACAGTTTTTAACCAGTTGATTCAGGGAATCTTTCCTGGGAGAGTGCATCAGCCACTTTGTTAGAAGCTCCTGAAATGTGTTGTATTTCAAAATCAAAATCTTGGAGAGCTAAACTCCACCGAAGAAGTTTTTTGTTATTCCCCTTGGCAGTATGAAGCCACATTAGCGCAGCATGGTTGGTTTGTAGTTGGAAACGCCGTCCCCAAACGTATGGGCATAGCTTTTCCAGCGCGTACACAATGGCATAGCATTCCTTTTTGCTGATTGACCAGTGGCTTTCCCTCTCAGACAGTTTCTTGCTGAGAAACACGACAGGATGGAATTCTTGATCTGGTCCTTCCTGCATTAAAACTGCTCCCACACCCCGCTCGGACGCATCTGTGGTTACTAGGAATGGTTTGTCAAAGTCTGGGGCCCTTAGCACAGGGTCAGACATGAGTGTCCCCTTAAGCTGGTTAAAGGCCTTCGGACACTCATCAGTCCACTGAACTGCATTTGGCTGTTTCTTTTTGGTTAGGTCTGTCAGTGGGGCGGCGATTTGGCTGTAGTGTGGTACAAATCGCCTATAATATCCGGCCAAGCCTAAGAAGGATTGGACCTGTTTCTTTGACTTTGGGACTGGCCACTTTTGGATAGCATCCACTTTGGCCTGTAGGGGATTTATAGTTCCTTGACCCACCTGGTGCCCCAGGTAAGTCACTCTGTTTTGGCCTATTTGACACTTTTTAGCCTTAACAGTTAGTCCTGCCTGCCTGATGCGCTTGAAGACTTTTTCCAGGTGCTCCAGGTGTTCTGCCCATGAATCAGAAAAAATGGCCACATCATCGAGGTAGGCAACTGCAGATTCTCCCAATCCCGCTAGGAGACCATCCACAAGTCTTTGGAAGGTGGCGGGTGCATTTCGCAGCCCGAAAGGGAGCACATTAAATTCATACACCCCTGCTTGGGTGACGAAGGCTGACCTTTCCTTGGCAGGTTCATCTAGTGGTACTTGCCAGTACCCCTTCATTAAGTTTAAGGTAGAGATGAATTGGGCATGTCCCAATTTCTCCAATAGCTCATCTGTGCGTGGCATTGGATAGTTGTCGGGACGAGTTACAGCATTTAGCTTACGGTAGTCCACGAAAAAGCGAATTTCTCCATCTGGTTTAGGAACTAGAACCACTGGAGATGCCCAGGCACTCTTAGAGGGGTGGATTATACCCATCTGTAGCATGTTCTGGATCTCCAGTTTTATAGCAGTTTGGGCATGAGGTGACTCCCGGTAGGGTGGGGTTCTAATTGGGTGAGCATTACCTGTGTCAATGGAGTGGTATGCCCGTTCGGTCCGTCCTGGGGTGGCTGAGAACATTGGTACAAAGCTAGTGCACAGCTCCTTGATCTGCTGTCGCTGCAGACGTCCGAGGGTCACGGAGAGGTTCACCTCTTCCATGCCACCATCCCTTTTTCCTTCATAGTAGACACCTTCAGGCCACTCAGTGTCATCTGTTCCCTGGGCTGTAAACTGGGAAACTTTTAATTCTGTGGAATAAAAGGCTTAAGAGAATTAACATGGTATACCTTAGGCTTTATGTTGGAGGTGGGGGATGCTATGAGATAGTTAACAGCTCCTAGGTGCTCCTGGATTGTGAATGGTCCTTCCCACGATGCTTCCATTTTATGGGCCTGGAGCGCCTTTAAGACCATGACTTGGTCTCCTACTTTTGAAGGACCGTTCTCTGGAATGTTTATCATACTAGGCCTTTTGCTCTTCCTGAGCATCCTTTAGGTTTTCTTTAGCAAGAGCTAAAGAGTGTCGGAGGGTGCTTTGTAGGTTGCTTACAAAGTCTAGAATATAAGTTCCTGGAGAAGGCGTAAACCCCTCCCATTGCTGCTTCACCAACTGTAATGGCCCCTTAATCTCGCAGCCATACACATTTTCAAATGGTGAAAACCCTAAACTGGGATGTGGTACAGCCCTGTAGGCAAAAAGCAACTGCTGCAACACTAGGTCCCAATCATTGGAGTGTTCATTTACGAATTTACGTATCATGGCCCCCAAAGTTCCATTAAACCTCTCCACCAGGCCATTGGTTTCATAGTGGTAAGGGGTGGCAACCAAGTGATTCACCCTATGAGCTTCCCACAGGCTTTTCATGGTCCCTGCCAGGAAATTAGTTCCCGAATCTGTAAGGATGTCGGAGGGCCAACCTACCCTGGCAAAAATGTCTGCTAATGCCTGGCACACACTTTTAGCCCTGGTGTTGCTTAAGGGTACTGCTTCCGGCCATCGGGTAGCAAAATCCATGGAAGTCAGTATGTACTGCTTTCCTCTGGGTGTCTTCTTTGGGAAAGGACCCAGAATATCCACAGCTACTCGCTGAAATGGGACCTCAATTATGAGGAGTGGCTGGAGAGGGGCTTTGACCTGGTCTTGGGGCTTTTCCACTCGTTGGCACACCTCACAAGACCGGACATAATTAGCAAC